GTTTTTATATTGAACAAAACACTTAAACTTCATTGCTATTGAATAAATACATCCAGTCAGTACAGGTGAAAAACATGAAATGGGTCTGAAGTTGACCGTACTCTCCCAGTATTCTAGAGGTCTTTCTTCTGGAAGGTAGGCTGGGGAGAGAGATCCACGTTGAGCAAGTGCACTTGCAGCTTTGAATGCACACCCCCAACTCCCACTGCACGGGGATGGGGAGGGGGGAACAGTCATGAACTCAGGGGTCTCAGGAATGGGGCTGCTATATTTAGCAAATATAGCAGCAACACAATACTGGGGATATACTCCTACTAAAAATTATTTAGGTCTTCTGTTTTTATCTGACAACCCTACTTTGGAGTTGACGGGAAAGGAATCTGAGAAAACATGAAGAAGTAGAAGGGCAGAAGTTTACAGCACAGCAAGATTTTATCAGGGACAGGGACAGCAGCACCATTTCTGTGTCATGTACTTTGAATGAGATTTGCACAGGAAAGGTGCTGGTCAGGAAGGGCTTCAGATGGGATCTTTACTGGTTCTTGAAGAAGATGAAAAGTTACCCACAAAAGGAAGATGGTGGGAGCTGATGAAGGACATTCCAGGCAGAACAAAGCAAGACCAAGGTAAAACAGCTCCAATATCTGTCTCCATGAAGCCTTTCTGGTCCCACTCAGAGGAATTCATCTCCCTTCCTCTGTGTTCTCATGGCCACTTGATGAAGCGTAATTGCTGAGCTGAGTGCCAAAGAATTGATGCTTTCGAAACTGTGCTGCTGGAGAAGACTCTTGAGAGTCCCTTGGACAGTAAGGACATCAGACCAGTCAATCCTAAAGGAAATCAACCCTGAATATTCTTTGGAAGGACTGATGCTGAAGTTCCAATACTTTGGCCACCTGATACGAAGAGTTGACTCCTTTGAAAAGACCCTGATGCTGGGAAAGATTGAGGGCAGGAGGAGAAGAGGGTGACAGAAGATGAGGTGGTTGGATGACATCAATGGGCATGAATTTGAGCAAACTCAGGGAGATAGTGAAGGACAGGGAAGCCTGACATGGAGTTGTAAAGAGTCGGATAGGACTTAGCGACTGAACAACAACAACAAATGGCTGAGCTCTTCCACTTTCTGCTATTGAGATGTCTGTGCTGTGGCCCCATCAAGTTACAGGGGGCAGGTTATAGAACAGACTCATCTACTGTCCTAGTTGAGCAGTAAACCCAGCAGAACAGACCCTGCTTTTTGCAAAAGATTAAGAACAAATACATCAAATATTTTGTTTCTCAATGCAAAATTTTTCATATATGTCCATGTAGTTAAATAAACACAGAGAATTGATTTATAAAACATCAGACCTTAAATATCTAGGATTGCTTCCCCATGAGAGAAATTAACAACATGAAACTAAACCAAATGGAAAAATAAGTAAAATTCCTTGCATTCCCTAAGACTTATCCCCAAGCTAACCCACACTGCTTCAGTATAGAAGGTCAGTTCTCTATTGCACGTCTCAACAGTCTACTGCTTTTGAATGTTCTGTCTCAGAGGAGAGAGGTTGTCTTATAGCCATGTGTGTGACAATGCCATCCCCCCCTCCCATTTAGAATGTCCCCATTACAGTTCTTCAAGTTATGATGCTGCATAATTAAACAAGTAGGACCACGCTTTCTGCCCTTTGGGCAGAGAAACTGAGAAACCTCGGGTATCTATGGGAGGACTATTCCACCATATTCTTCCTATAGCTGTATGATTTAGGGGCAACTTACCCAGGGATAATGGGCTTCCCTGTGGCTCAGATAGTAAAGAATCTGCCTGCAATGCATATGATCCAAGTTCAATCTCTGTGTCAGAAAGATCCCCTGGAGAAGGAAAATGGCAACCCACTCCAGTATTCTTGCCTAGAGAGTCCCATGGACAGAAGGAGCCTGGTGGGCTACAGTCCATGGGGTCATAAAGAGTCAGACATGACTGAGCAACTGACCTCTAGAGATAAGAAGGTAGAGAAGGTGGCTTCGTCTAGCAGCTTTAAGATGGGAATAAATGTCCCTTTTGTGTGTATGTTTGGAAATGTTGCTTTCCAGATCTTCACCAGCCAGATTAAGTGGGTTGTGGTTTTGTTCTGTTTTGCTTTGTTGGTGGTGGGGAGAGGTTATTGGGGAAATTATACTTTACCCATCTAAGGTTCAGAATCTAAGGGTTCAGAGTGGTTTGAGCTTTTCAACTCTAGCAGTGTTTATCTTGTCCCCTCAGTTAATATTGTATGTTGTTTTCCTCTTTCTTTTACGTTTTTGCTAAAAGTGCTGATCACTCAAGGATTTTACTTAGACCTTTGAGCACCTCTGTTGGTTTACCTTTACCTGATAAATGCCCATATCTGGCTCTATGTTCCATCTGGACAATCTCCCTTTTTGGCACCACGCAGAGAGCCTGGTCACCTTGGCCGTTCTTGGCCCTTGCACCTCTTTGGGGTGTAGTTAATCCCATGCTTTCTTTGGGCCCCACGCAGGGTTGGTTTCTGCTCTCCTGCGCCACCTGCTGTCACCTGCTCCAAATGCAGCCTTCCGGGCTCCAGTCCCAGGCTCCCCACAGGAGCCAGAGCCAAAACCACAGCCCAAGCAGATGTTACTTAGGCTGCCAGATTTCTGTCCTGGTCTTATCTGTGCTGCCTCCACTGGCTCACCCGATTAGAATCCCAAATGTCCCCAGATGACTTGCCCTAAGTCACGCAGACCCTGAGCTCCTTGGCCAGAAGAAAGGAAGCTGCCAGTGTGGGGGCTGGTTGGTGATCAGGGGCTCCTGCCAGCTTGCTGAATATGTAATCAGTGGATGCCAGCCTCTGCCCAGTGGTGAAAATGCAAATGGATTTCTGTCACAACATCAACACACCCAGGGCACTGATCCTTTCACGGGCTCACCAACATGTCCCCAACATGTTCCTTAACTTAGCCACTAGTTTTCTCTCAAGCTGCTCAGGAACCAGAAACTTTTCTTTTTTAGCACTCTGGACTTCCTTATATTCTTGCAAAACTTGGTAATTCTAATCAAGGCACCCCAAGAAAGTGGAGTGCTGCTATTTATTCCCTATTCTAGGTTACAGATCTCTTGGTGGTCAGGACTTTGGCATGTGTTTATTCTCTCTCTCACAGCCTGGCACATAGTAGGTGATTCCCAGAAACTTGTTGAAATGCACAATTCTCTCCAGCCAAAATCCTTCTTGAAATTCCTTCTCTATTCTCCTATTTAAAGTAAAAACTGTCAGATCTGAGATTCTGATAGTTCATTCCTGATTTAAACCTGGGGGGAAAAAGTCTGACTTGGTGGAAAGAAATAATGAGTGATAGCTGTGATTTCTGTTAGTAGTCTGATAAGGATGAGGTTGGTCACCAGCTGTTGTCTCCAGCTGAGGTTAGAAAACATAGCAACATGTGTGTGCAGGGGAGAGTTGGGTTAGATAAGAGAGAGAACGTCCTGAGAGCAAAGGTTACAGGAGACTCTTAGAAATTATAAATGGGGGTTTATGCCAGCAGTCATGATAGATACACATCCACTGAGTTCAATAAACACTTATTAGGTTCCCACATGTTGCCAACACTGTGCTAGAAGGTTGATAACATATAATTCCTGACCGCAGAGAAAACTAAGACACGTAAGCAGACAATTTCAGATCATTTCCCAAGTGCCGCAAGAGAGGTGTGCCTGGGGCGTTGGGGGAGCCTGATGCAGGGGCACTGGTTCGAGCTATGTAGACAGGGCTTCCTGGAAGCGGTGAAGTATGTACTGTGTTTCACTATTGGATGAGAGATATCTCAGTGAAAAAAATGCAATCAGTGCCTTTTAGAAAAGGTGGATAGTTGGATTAATTGATGTAGAAACATCTGTAGATCACAGAAAATGCCTTCAGTCCTTCCGAGCTGAGTCATTTGCAGCATGATATTGTCTTATGGGAAACGTCTTACAATCCTGGTGGCAGCAGGGTGCTCAGTTTTCTGTTCCATTATCGGGATAGCCTTTCATAATTTTAGATTGGTAAAGGTAAAGGAGGGAATTTTATTTTCTCCACGTGTCATGGTCGTTTAAGCAGCCTTTAAAGGTCCTTTAAAGCGGTCCTTTAAGCAGATTTTGTGTTTCAAAATCCTGAGCACTGCAGAGCTGGCATGCTCTGGATGCATCAGATTTGACATATCTGGGGGCTGCACACAGAGCTATGTGGACAGGAGCCCTAGAGCGGGTATTCTCCACGCGATCTAGGGGGCCACAGCCTGCCTGCCAGATTGGCAAGAATGGACAGGCTGCTACCTAGACGCTCTCTCGGCAGCTACTCCTTGGTCTGTGTGTGTGTGTTTTAAATTAATTTTTACTAGAGTGTAGTTGATTTACAATGTTGTGTTAGCTTTAGGTATACAACAAAGTGAACCAGTGATACATAGATCCACTGTTTTAAAATTCTTTTTCCAGAGATCATTACAGAGTATCGACTAGCATTCCTTGTGTGATATTGTAGCTTCTTATAGTTGTCTCCTTTGTATACAGTGGTGTGTTTGTGTGAATCTCAGTTCCTCAGTTTATTCCTCCCTGCCCCTTTCCCCCTTGGTAACCTTAAGCCTCTTTTCATCTTAAGTTTCTTTACATTTGTGACTCTATTTTGTTTTGTAAATGAGTTCATTTAAACAGCTACCCTTTGAATTCCAGCAGATTATTTTACCAGGCCCCATTGTACAGATGGGAAAACTGAGACTGAGACCGTGAAGCCACTTCCTGGGTCCCGGGGAATAATGGGCGGCTGCCGTGTGTTAGCGTAGCCTCTTGTTCGTTACTCCAGCGCTGCAGCCAGTACCTCCCCAGGGTGGGAACCTCTGAGAGGCATTTCTCCCAGAAAGAAGTGCTTTTGAAATGGCAGGCCAGTTAGTAATGGCCCGTTTCCACTGGATACCCGGCTTCCTGGACTGGCATGGTGGGGGTGGGGGTTCCCAGCCTCCTCCGGGGAGGTCAGTCGGCCCCAGCCATGGCAGCTGGTGTCTCCAGGCTCCTACGAGGGGGGACAAAGAGTGCGGCCCGGCTGCGGACCCGAGCCCTCCACGCCCACCCGCCCAAGGCGGCCCCGCAGGGTCCGTGCCAGGCGCTGTGTCTCCTCTCCACTCCCTGCCAGGGCCCCTCCGCTCATCTGCTCACTCTCGGAACTCCTGAATGGGTCTTTGTGTGCGCCCCAGGAGCTGGCTGGGCAGAGCCCCGATCGAAAAGCTGGACCGAGATATCTCCTCTGGGTCCAGGCGCCGCTCGGCGCACTGCCCATCTTGTGGGAGGCAGGTCTTTATTTTGCCGCTGGCCTGTTCTGTTATCTGGGAGCGAGCTGGGGCCCTGGTGAACGGGAGAATGTTCTTCACCCCTGCTCAGTGGGGTCATGGCCAGGGCCATGGGGATGGTGGTGCCTTCCTGGAGCTCTCTTTTCCACTCTCTCTCTTTGCTAAATATTTTGCCCCCAGAGGTGACTTTACTAATACCAAGAGGGGCAGTTAAATGGTCCCACCTTAGGTGCCAGGCATTGTGTTAGTAAAGGTCTTATCCCATTGAGTCTTCTCAATAATCCCATGAGATATGTCCCCATTATTATCCCCATTTCACAGGTGAGGAAACCAAGGTCAGGAATGTTAATGAACTTACCCTGGTGATTCTCAACACAGATTGAATGGCTTTCAGGACATCACTCACCAGACACGAAAGTCCTAAGGCCGCTTCTCGGGGCCAGTTGCCTCAGGGAAAGCCAAAAGGAAGCAAAGCCTGGCTCTGGAAAAAGGCAGACAGCCTCTGGTTTTCTCAAGTCTTGTTTTATTTATACTGTCGCCCCTTTGTGCTGTTTTTTAAAATAAAGTCAACTCCAACTAATAAAAATAAATGAAAAAAAAATTAAAAAAATAAAATAAAATAAAGTCAAGAGTAACATTTTATTTTTTGAGATAGAAGAAGCCAGGGACTTCCCTATAGCTCAAATGATAAAGAACTGCCTGCACTGCAGGAGACCAGGGTTCAATCCCTGGGTCAGGAAGATCCTCTGGAGAAGGGCATGGCAATCCACTCCAGTATTCTTGCCTGGAGAATCCCATGGACAGAGAAGCCTAGAAGGCTATAGTTCATGGGGTCCAAAAGAGTCAGACATGACTGAGCAACTAACACACACACACACAGGGACGTATAAGGAAAAAATTGAGGAAATTTTTCGATATTGGAAACTTTGCTAAAGAGCCCTACCCTTACTCTCAGGAAATAAAATGGTTTTGTGATGCAAACGTGACTGAAGACTAGAGCCCAGGATTGGCCTCGGGGTGGCCCTCTGCTGTGGCCCCGCGTCTTGCTCTCATGAGGGGATAGAGCTTAATTCCAGGCGGCTGAGTCTTCAGTGCTGCCTGGGCAGGTTGAGGTTCAGGCACCAGTTTGGCTTTGGCTTTTTTCTTAGTAGATAGAAACAGTGGTCATGGCGCCATCTGTATTCACACGCGTCTGGCAGGGCTGCCCAGCTTGAGAGATGTGGTCCAGGGCAATCTTATGGAGCAAAGCTCAGTGGCCCCTTTCAGGCACAGACATTATAACCATGGATTTTAGAACAATCCTGTTAGCGGAGCCAAATGGCCAGCTGGAAAGGGCTGTGAGTATTTCTCTATTGGCAGAGAGGCTAGAGCCATCTATGGTCAGACAGACAAAAACAGCAGAAGGAATGCAGTTTAGATCTCAAGAAGAACTTCTCAGTTGTGTATCACGGTATACTGATAATCAGGCACAATAGATTGTCCCTTAGAGTCTGTATTTGCTTGTTTCTTTTCTTCATTTTCTCCCCCCTTTTTTTTCTTTTTAAAGAAAAAGTTACTCTTCACTCCTAGGCTCTTATTGCAGTACATGCTACTTCTGGGAAAAGGGGAGTGAAAGTGTCAGAGGCCTTATGGTGAGGGAGATTCCTTTATGTCCATCTTTCACACATGACAAGAAGCTGTATAGAATTAGAATCTTCACAATTGTGTGTGATATGGTGTGTTCTCCTCTTTCCCCCACTGTGAAGAGTTAATATCCACTCCTAGCCACTGTTGCATTCAACCCCAGAAATGACAGCGCTGTCAAGATGTGTGAAGTAACTGAGTAATAACTTTTTCATGCATTATTCTCCACGTTGCTTTCTGTGATCTTTATGGATTGCTCTGATATCCAAGGGTCTTTACCCAAACATATTTCTCCATGAAACCATTCCCTTCATCATGGAGTATTATTATGGTCTAATTGTGGTGATACATAATAAATACTTGTGTTTTCAGTAACTGAAGCATACGCATGGCAAAGAAATCCCCCTCAAAGTCAAGAGAATAGCCTGTGGCCATCTGAGGCCCTGAGATACAGGGTATTGAACAAACAGGGGTCACGAGCGCTGTGAGCACCCCGTTCTGTTCCAGCTCTTCTCCACTCAAGCTGTGGTCATTCTGTACTGTTTTCCATAGTAGTCCCTTGTTCCTTTTTTTACTGTGCTCACCTCATTTCTGAGAGTGGAACTCACTTTAAAAGATGTAATAGTGTGAAAGTGAGCAGAATTCAAGAGCTTGAGGGATAAGTTCAGGAGATACACAGGAAAGGACTTTCTGATTGTGACAAGGCGAATGTAGAGGAGAGAAACCCACTGAAATAGGACAAGTGAAGTTTACCACTAGTACTTGGGCTGCTGAAGCTTGAGCAACTTTCTGGGTCTCAGTCCTTTATTCATAGGGTGACATGTGAGTCTCTGGACAGTTTCCTCTTTGTGAATAAAGCTGTCCCTTTATCTGTTGGGTTTTGGTTGGTAAGCAATGCAGAATCACCATGTTTGGACTGTGAACAGTAGGTAATAAAGCATCACCAAGAGTGAACAGAGAGGCATGTGTCAGGAAGACTCAACTGAGAGTCATGTGTAAGATGGATTACAGCTGATAGAAGCTGGTATTGGGAAACTAAATGGGAAGATAGAGGAAAAGTCCAGCAGAGAAAAAAATGAGGCCATCAACCATGGATGGTAGCAGCAAAAATCAAAGAAAAGGACTGATTCAAGAAATGCAGGGAGAAAGAATGGACAGAGCTTGGCAACTAAGCAGCCAGGAAGGAGGGGCTTGGGAGGGAGGAATTCACTATGACACAGTCGCTATGCCATTTCCCCGGGGAGCAGTTGGGCATTTGTCCAGTGGCCAGTGGGAGTGACCGAACTTTCTGCACTTTTCTTGCTGAGAAACAAGGAGAGAGGAGCAGTGGCCCACTCGCTCTGTAAACTTACCCCGATAACCTATCATATGGGTAAACCGTGGCCTTGACATAGGGTGAGTGGGGTCGTATGACTCCATTGACACTCCCGTGGCCCCATGCTCAAAGGTGATGCTCTCTGACCCTCAGGTTACTGTGAGTTACTGGAGTGCTCTGCATGCAGAGGCAGGGAGAATTCTCCAGAGAACCGAGAGGGAAAACATTTTTTTAGCAGAAAGTGCCATGGCAGTATCCTGCATGGCCAATAGCACTGGGTGACATTCAGTGCTATGAATGACTTCACACGTTCACTCTTCTTGTTACCATTTTCCAGCTCATAATTCCAAGGCTCTGGTACCACATTTCCTTGGCGTTAATGCTGAAATGGGAAATGAATGGCAGTTGGGCTCTGTGTTCGTTGCTGTCACACAGCCTGAAGACAGCAGGCATTGGGAAGGGTAGTGAAGATGGCATCCTATTTGCCTTCAAGATGAAAGAGTTCAGTGTGGGACCGCTGGGCTTGTCTCAATGGCATCTCCCTGCCGGCCTCTCAGATAACCCGGCATCACATTCTTTACCCTGACTCCAGAACAAGAAAGAATATTCTTTCAGTAAGCAAAGCCCAGATGACTAAAGCTCTTTCTTTAAAACAAAAAGCCCAGGGGGTTTCCTCTTAGGATCCAGGTTGGTCTCTGGCCAAGGACCTATGAAATCCCCTGAAGATGAGCATCTCTGAAGGACGCAGCTGTATGAATTAAGGGCAAGAAATTTGACTCTTCCTACAACCTCATTTGATTTCCCACATTGAGGCTGCTTTTAGCCTAAGGTATCTCCCCCCAACACCCCTTGGTTAGAAATGTCAGTGTCTACTCTTCCTTAGTTAATATGGGAAAACTAAACATCCTTGTTGTTAGGTCAGGTAACCTTCAGTTTGTAAATTTCCCTCCAAAGCATGGAGACGGGCTTACTTCTGCCTGTCATGTTCCCACTGTGGCTGGAAGCTGCTAGAGAGCTTCTGGGTCAGACAGTGCGGTGTGCTTTGGATGAGCCTAGGAGGGTTTTCAGCATCAAGCCTTCTGCTCATAATGCCAGGTTTTTTGATAAACTTGTTGAAGCCACCTTAGTTTCCTAGAAGGTATTTATCCATCTACAAATGAGATTTGCCCTGATTTCTTTAGGTTGAAAATGACAAGTTGGATCCTGGAACCCTTTTATTTTCCATCTGAGTAGGAGAGTTCAGTACTGAATGACTGCTCTAGGTATTTCTGGATATGTGTGGGTCATCTTGTCCTGTGTGAATGTGTCCAAATCTTACTTTTCAAGAGACTCTGTTTTCCCATCTGAAGAATACCCTCAGACTCTGCCTGTGAACCTGCAACTCTGTTACCTTTGTTATCCATACACTGATGCCAAGAATGTTGTTGCAGGGCTATTTGGCTAATCTTGCAGGCATCTCTCAGAAACAGTCAGTTCTCAATGATCTGCACATGGATTACACGCTTTGTGAATTTATTCACAGATAATTTTTAATTCCAAATTGGCTGTGTGACTGCTTGACAGGCTCCTGTGAAGATACTCCTCAAGGTTTTCCCCTCATTTATGGACACCTGGGGAACGTTCCATATTCTAATGTTCACATGAGAGAAAATAAATGGGAAAGTAAGCTGATTGAAAAGTCATCAAATGTAGCAATTTCCAAATCAGGAAAAAAAAACAAACAAACTTTGGAGTAATCCCTTATGGAATCGGATTATTTCTACCCAAACATCCCTCTATGGTTATTAAAAAATTAATAAAGAAAAATCAAGCAATATATAGACTGACTTCATCTTCCTCCCAAAGCCACAACTTACAAGAATGCAAGTGCAATATTGAACCCTAAACGGAGTGGAAGCTCGGGAGTGAGAGGGTATTGAGACACATGAATTCTTCTGCCAACTTGGGATCCCATGGGGATTGCACTAAAAGCTTCCCTAGTCCTTTCTCAAGACAGTCTTCAAGGGAGCTGACTCTGAGCCTTCTGTAAGTCCATCCTCTTAAGTGGAATGAAACCCAATCAAGCAAGGTAAAACCAAAATGAAAATCCATTGCGCCTCGTCCCCTCTTTGGTTGAGGCCTCCCGTGCCTCTACCACCTTAAACATGGAGCGTGTGCGTTCTGCACACAGAGACTGCACGGGCTGGGCCCCTGCCCTTTTCAGGGAGGGAATGTAAGCAGATCCCCGAAGAAACTGCCTGGCTCAGCGATTTAGGGGCTTGTTGTGACTGGCCTGGCCTAAAAGAATTCAGCAAGCTGCACCTTTGCCAAGGAAAATGCAAACGCTTCCCCGAAACAGGCGTTGAGGGCGATGGGCTCATCTGCGAACCCAAGCAGGAAAAGCAAGGCGGACAGAACTTTCAGGAAATCGGAGAGGCTCCTTAGAGATGGTTTTCTCACTGAGCCATGGGCAGAGGCCACATGAGCTGATGAGGTGATACCCGGAAGGGTGAGTGGGGCCCGGAGTGGAAGGAGCTCGGGCGGACAGCTTCCTCCATCCGGAACCTCCTGATCTCCTTGAGGAGCAGGGCCCCATTTCTTACCCAGTCCAGCTCCTCCCCAGTGCTCCAGTGGTCCTCTGTTGGGCTCGGCATCTGCCACCTTGCCCTGGACCCTGAGAAGTTGTCAGGGGTGCTTCTCAGCTCTTCTGAGGCCAGGAGGAACCCAGCCATGGCCTGACTCCTCCTGCTTCTGGTGGCTCCTTGCATCTCTTTTTTTGTTAAAAATGTAAAAAAAGCACAGACCCTATTTTGTACATCATCTTGTGGCTCAGACAGAGAATGCCCTGCAATGTGGAAGACCCAGGTTCGATCCCTGTGTTGGGAAGATTCCCTGGAGAAAGGAATGGCAATCCCCACTTCAGTACTCTTGCCTAGAGAATTCCATGGACGGAGGAGCCTGGTGAACTACAGTCTTTGGGGTCGCCAAAGAGTCAGGCGACTAACACTTTAACTTTCTCAAATCCCACTATACTTCTTGGTAGACGTTTTATATCTGGCTACCACCTGCACCTGCTCCAACTCTGTGATCTCCAAGTCCATAGGCCTGGTGACCAAACTATATACCTTGTGCTGACCATGGTCCCTAGCTGTAGCTGTTACTAAATAGTGGTTATTAGTTGACAAATAGTAATGAAGATTACTACGGGACATTCTTTAGCATGATTTTTTTTTTTTTGCTAACACTTGTATTTCTATTTCTATCACGTGTGTGAACATATAGGAGGTGTTCAGTCAACACATGACAGATTCAGATCTTTCTGATGGATTAACGATCTTTTGAAGCCAGGAAAAAACTAAGTCTTATGATGAGTCTGGCTTCCTCTCTGCTTCTTTGCACTCAGGAGATCTTTCAGGACTTTGTTTCTACTACACCCCTCAACATTTACCCTTATACCCACCTCTCACCATCTCTCAAGACCCACGATGGTTTTGGAAACATCCCCGGCATCTTGGCCATCCCTTGAGGGTCTCTCCTCACTTCTCCCTACCTCTGAATTCTCTTACTGGTCTCTTATCTCTCCCTTTTCCTCCAACCTTAAAGTCTGTGTCTTTTCCCTCCTCCACTTAAGCGCTCTGTCGTCTCAATCAGAGGTCAATTCTTTAATGCATCGTTTCTCTCATCTGCTACCAACTTTGCCCTCATTTTACAACTCTGCCCCAGCCCTCATCATACAAGCAAGCCACACACATACCACATACCAGCATCCCTCAAAGTCCCATACCTTGCTTTCTTCCTTGTTAGCAAGCTTCACCTTTTTAATTTCTCCTGCCTCTATTCTTCCCTTTTCCCACCTGGCACAGGAAGCCTTACACATACACTCAACAGACACCACAACAGGCAGCAATTCCACCTATGCTTTTTATCAGCACTGTGTATCATAATACACTCACACTGGAGGTGGCATTTTTCTTTTATTTTTTTCGTTTTTTGAAGTACCATTGACTTACAGTGTTGTGTTAGTTTCAGGTTATAGCTAGTGTTTTAGTTCTACACATCTATCCTTTTTCAGATTCTTTTCCATTACAGGTTATTATGAAATATTGAGATAGTTCCCTGTGCTATACAGTAGGTCCTTTTTGGTTGTCTGTTTTATATACAGTAAGGCATTAATTGCATCCTCCTAATTTATCCCCCTCCCCCGCAATTTCCCCTTTGGTAACCATAAGTATGTTTTCTGTCTGTGGGTCTATTTCTGTTTCGTAAATACATTTATTTGCATTGGAGGTGAGATTGTTAAAATTTACTATAATCTGGCTTTTTATAATCCTTATTAATTTTAAGTTCTGTCTTTACATCCTGATGTAATGCATACCATTTTTCTTTTCCTTTGTTTCCATGTCTTACTGATGCATTTTACATGTGTATATTTTTGCTCATTTCCCCATTAGAATGGCCAACAATGAAATTAACTTTGGAGGCAGCCTTCAAATAGAGATCGGGCAACACTCAAACAGAGAAGATAAGGAAGAAATTCAGACATGTATAGTGGGGTGTGGGGGGAGGGTCTTTGACAAGCTGGCTTCTAAACATCTCTTTTAAAACCTGAGAGTCTCCGTAAACTGATGAGTGTATGGGAATGTGGCCTTCTCCTTTGTGTTTTGCATTTTACTAAATGGTATTTGCCTCACCTGGGAAGTACTTAAATATTGAAATTACCTGAGAGAGTGAAATAAATGATTCTGTTCAAGGGAAAGAGAGGATAAGACATAAGCACATTTTTGATTTAGGTGATCACTGAATATATTAGGGTGTTAGATCCCTCAGTAGGAGTTACATGCTCTGTGGGAGGATTTCCTGCATTTCTTTTGTCCCATTTCTCCTTTTGGCACTCAGGTTGTTCACAGACCCCAACACTCTCAGAGCTAGAGGGATGCCTGGGGTTATTTCTGTCCAGGAGGTCTTCCTGCCTGGGCCCATCCTTTGACCAAGGAACTTCCAACAACAGAACCCTCCTGATCTTCTCCAGACAGAGAAGATCCTTTTACTTCTGGATTGAACTAGCAGAATGTTTTTCTTTTGTGAGTCAAAAAGCGTTCTCTTTGGAGTTTCTCCCCATTGGTTCCACCGTATTCCCTCAAACCTACAGCAAATCCCATCACTTTCTACCTGAGCCATTTGGATAGTCGAAGACAGTGGTTATTTCCTATATGGAGTTGTATCTTCACCTGTGAAAACATTTCCACTTTTCCAGGGTCCTCCTGAGATTACTGCTGGTCTCTTCTGTACTACGGCTGTTCTGTTACCAGCGTGCTTGATTCTGCCTGCTGTGGGGTCCAGAGCAGAAGGGGATGCTCTGACTAGCCCAAAGGGAAGCAAGAGTCTCCCTCTCACGCCTGTCATTTTCCTGTTCTTCTACCCCTGACCCTGTGTCCTTCACATGCTCCAGGCCCTCTGTTACTTCCTCCTTTGGAAGTATTCCTGGATTCTTATTCCATCCTTCATAGCAGACCTGTCACTGAAGGTCCTCAGGTTGAGATCCAGTTACATGAAAAGGAATCTTTTGTTTTGTTTTTGCAGTTTTCCATGAATTCTCCAAATCCTTAGTGCTGTTTTTTTCACTTGACTTCAGTTTATAACAATGTGTAAGCATCTTCACGCCAGGGAGGCCTGGTGTGCTGCAGTCCGTGGGGTCACAAAGAGTCAGACATGACTGGGCAATGGAACAACAACAAGCATCTTCAGAGTGGGTTGCCTTTTTTGTATTCGGTCCAGAGCCCAGTATAGGTCTGAGAAATATTTAATGAGTCTGTGTTATGAGTTGACATTTCTCCTTCATCGCATCATTTCATTTTCTTTTACCCAGGGTGTTTGTGTTTATTTTGTCTTCAGTCCTATAGTATCAAGGTTGCTTATGGAGAAAGAGCCAATGAAAAAGCCATTTATTTTTATTTTTTAATTTTTATTTTCTTACTTTTATTGGAGGATAATTACTTTACAATATTGTGATGGTCTCTTAAAAAGCAGAAACATCACTTTGCTGACAAAGATCCCTATAGTCGAAGCTATTCTTTTTCCAGTAGGCATGTATGGATGTGAGAGTTGGACCATAAAGAAGATTGAGCACTGAAGAATTGATGCTTCCAATTGTGGTGCTGGAGAAGACTCTTGAGAGTCCCTTGGACTGCAAGGAGATCAAATCAGTCAATCCTAAAGGAAATCAACCCTGAATATTGAAGTACTGTTGCTAAAGCTGAAGCTCCAATACTTTGGCCACCTGATGCGAAGAGCCGAGTCATTGTAAAAGACCCTAACACTGGGAAAGATAGAGGGCAGGAGGAGAAGACAGCAACAGAGAATGAGATGGTTGGATGGCGTCGTTGACTTTAATGGACATGAGTTTAAGCAAACTCCAAGAGATAGTGAAGGACAGGGAAGCCTGGCGTGCTGCAAGTCCATGGGGTCACAAAGAGTTGGACATGACTTGGCTACTGAACCACAACTGCCATACATCAGCATTTATCGGCCATAGGCATACATGTGTCCCTTCCGTCCTGAACCCCCAAGTCTATTATTTTTACTCCCAGTTCAGTCTTTCCATGTGGTCCAGCACAGAGCTGCTACCAACATCAGGGAGGTAATGGAGTTTAAATAGAGATCAGTGGGAACTGGCTTGAGTTTTGGCTTGCTGAAAGTAATATGCGGTGGCCCACGTCCCCTGGCCAGGACAGCTAGAAGAGTCACGGAGGCAATATGATATGGTGGAAAGAGCTCCAGGCTGAAACAGATTTAGGTTTGATCCCTATCATGGTCACTTATTTTATGGGCACTTAACCACTCTGAACTCAGTTTCTTCATCTGTAAAATGGGGCTAATCCAGCTCCATCTCAGAAATGGCATGAGGGTAAAACGAGGCAGTGTGTCACCACGCATGTCGTGGCGCCTGAACTCCGGCCGGGGCTCTGTTGTCATTCTGTAGTTTCCTTACTCTGTTCTAGCAAATAACGAGCATCCTAGTAGGCCCACTGGCTGTCTCCTCTGCTTTTGATATAATCACATAATGATGCAGCCTCTCCGGCAGGCTTGCTCTGCGTCTCCCGTCTGTGTCACAGCCAGCACACTGTCCTCAGGATTGCCCAGTCGGTCAACATCAATACTTAAGGGTGCAGCTGATTGCCCTGCACCGAGGAAGGTCTGGGAGTCCCCGCATCCCCATCTCTCCAGTCTAACTGGGGGAAGGGCAAGGAAGTTGGGAGACTCGGGCCATTAACAACCCCAGTGGCTTCTCTAGGGCACTGGACACCATTCTGGGGGTGCACGACCCTCCAATTCTGTTTGCAGATAGAGTGGTATATTTGATTTCCTCCTTGCCTGCCAGGGTGGGGCTTCCCTGGTGGCTCAGATGGTTGAGTCTGCTTGCAATGCTGGAGACCTGGGTTCCATCCCTGGGTCAGGAAGAAGAAGGAATTCCCTGGAGGGAAGGCATGCAAACCCACTCCAGTGTTCTTGCCTGGAGAATCCCATGGACAGAGGAGCCTGGCGGGCTATGGTCCACGGGGTCACAAAGCAGTTAGACAAGACTGAGCGATAACACTTTCATTTTCACTGCTACTTGCCCACCAGGGTAGGTGGGAATGAATGAGACGGGATCTCTCCAGAGAAAGACACTGTTTGAACCTAACAGTCTGTTTCCATCAAGGTGGGGAGCAGGAAGTTGCCAGGACACCAAAAGGCCAGGTGTCAATACTGGTGAGGGTCCAGGAGCCTGGACCATCCTCCTCTCCTCAGATGGCAGACATCACGCCCATCTCCCCAGAAGAGCCCCGTGTGAATATCCAACTTCATGATCCGTTAGGGCCAGTGAGGGAATTGGACTTGAAACAGAGGCAAGTGGTGGCCAATCACCACGTCCACACAGAGCATAAACTGTGCAAGCTCATGACTCATGCTGTACTCACCTGGACCAGAGAACCCCAGGCACTGGGAACTGTCTCCCCAGACCGTTTCTCTGGTCAATTACGGAGGACCTCGACCCTGCAGCTCACGCTGGGACTGTTATTTGTGGCTGGAACGGGTCTCCACAGCCCCGGGCCGGGGCACGCCCCTGGGGTGTGTGCACACCTCTCCCCGCTCGTCCCGGAGGCCCTGGCCTGGCTGGGTACCGCCTTGCCATGCCCCGCGTCTTCCACAAGGGGGAGCCCCCGGAGGGCAGCGGAATTTGGGAAGCGCTGAAGTTTTCTCCTCCTGTCCTCTAGCAGATTTTCCCGAACCCAACTGTTAGATTCCTTTGTTGCAATGTGGGGGCCTGAGCTGACACTTTTGGAGGCTGCGGGTGAGAGCCACAGCTGATCTGCCATCTTTCCTGGTTTGTTGTTCTTTACCTAGCATCATCAGCTAAGGAGGAAAAGTAACAAAGAACTTGAAGACTTCCATGGCTCCCAGGCCCTGGATGGAGGCAAGCGGCATCAGGCAGCTTCAGACAGAGAACCGTGGAAGCTGAGGGGCAGCCGGGATGTGCCTGTGGCTGCAAAGCCCAGGTAGGTACCTGGGAGGGGTTGGCAGAGGGGCGCCCGGGGCCCAGAGCCCCTGATGGTGGGAAAAGCAGACGGACAGGAGGGATGGAGGACTAGCAGTGCAGACAGGACCTGGGAGGTTGAGGGAGGAGCCCCTAAAGAGTGCAGAAGAAAAAGTGATGCAGAAGAAAAAGTGATGCAGAAGAGTGACCTTGGAGCCGGAGTGGGAGGGTTTGGGGGCTGACTCAGAGACTTTATTTGAAGGTGGTTCCAGCTCGGCTGCCCTAGAAACTTTATAGGACATCAGAGGCCGGGAGTTTGAGAGTGAAGGCTCAATTGCACAAGAAATTTCAAAGTGAGTAGGTGTGCCTGGGAGTCTCTCTAACCATTCGGGTTGTGTGTCATTGAGCCACACCTACTCCGGCTTTTCTACCTAAACCAGGAGGATTCCTTGCCTGATGGTGTGTTCAGGTTCTCTCCACCTGGAACCATCGTCTCGGCCTTTCCCTCCATGCCTCCGATGCCCACAGTTACTCTCGAGAATGACGAGGAGGCCAGTTCTCATTCTGCCACTTAGTGAGATTCACTTAAGCAAGGAAACCTCAGCGTCTTTGTCTTCCTCATCTATAAAGGGAGATAATAATATATTACTGATGAGCCTTATAGTATTTTTCTGAGGATTGAGTAAGTATGATAATGTGAATAAATGCTCTTAATAGATTATAATTTCTAGCTAAACAAAAGATGGCATTAATAGTAATTAATCAGTGACTATATCCTTCCTCCTCTCAGTGGGGTATTTTCCTACTGGGCTTTGAAAGAACCTCTGTGAGCATGTGTGTGTGTGTCTAAGTGCATATGTGTGTGTGTGTATATGTATACCTTTGACAGATAAGTGGGAAACTTTGTGTTTTTTCGCTTCCAGCCACCTTCAAATGTTCCTTTTCGCGGCCTCGGCTGCATTTTTCTGTTTTTCAAACACGCGGATAATGATTGATGGTGTCTGCTTGGCTCCATGGACAAGTGATTTGTCTGTGTCCTGGACACTGTGCTGCCCGGGTCAATGTCATACCATGCCTTAGGCACATGATCAGACCAAATACGCTTGGAAGAAGCAAATAAGAGGTTGTTTTTATAATCCCATCATCATATTCCCTGACAGCGTTCTTTCCAGTCCGCTTGTTATTCACAGAAATGCCTCACATGGGAGGTTGGGTTCTGCATTCTGAGTCAGGCTGGTCCAAGCAACCTATGAAGGCTGCTGAGCTTGGCTTTGATACCTGTGGACACATTCACTCTCTCCTGGGGTTTTCCGGATGACTGTGGTGTATGGGGAAGGCAGTGTAGACCAGGACAAATCCTTTGACTTCACTGAGCCATCTCTTCCCCATCTGTCAGGTGGGGTACTCCCCTTCCCTCCTGTACCCCTTCATGTTGGGGATGCCCCAGATAGATGTAAGGCACTCCTAAGATCATACCTGAACCCCCCGAAAGTCTGTAACTTACAGTGTGACCTCATTATAAGGTATCACCATAGCTATTCTGCAGGTTTTTCTCTAGGGATTTACCTGCCTTTCACAACTTTATTTTAAAAGCTATCTTTTCCTGGATGGTAATGTACTCTCCTTTCATCTCCACCAATTGGCTGATGAGTCAAATATTTACAGAGATGCTAAGTGATACACTTACTTTCAAAAAACTGGTATCCCGTACAAATCAAATGTATACATGCACAATGTGTACATAGACTGTATTTTTCTAAAACCACCAAACACATATATATTCCTTCTATTTTCAAGCATGTACTTTCTCCCTTTTAAGTACAAATATACACAAATATATATTTGAGCAAAAGATATACACTGACATTCATGCAACATACTTACTTAAAGAGAAAATTTAATGGGCAAGAGGAATGAACAGAAACCCTATCAGCATTCCAGCTCCTTTAGAGTCCCAAAGTGACCGCAATACACAATTCACATGGTTAAAAAAATCATGGATCAATTTCTGCTCCGTTCCTAGTAATGAATATCAATATCTTGCCTCTTCCAGACAGACTCTCAGTAGCTTCAGATAGTTTTAAATGTTTTTTTTTTAAATACATTTGCAAAGTCAATTATTTTGAATCTCATTTGAAGCAATTAAAAAACATCCTGACATTTTAGGTGATATTTTTTCCCAAGTAAAATAATTATAAATAATACTAATTATGAGCAAATCATTCAGTTACTCTCAGCCTGGTTCAACCTTTAGGTTAATAAACCAATCCATTAAAATTCATCTTGCTCAAAGGACCAATTTGTTAAAAAAAAAAATGTAGCGACCTTTCACCACAAGTATGATTGATATTTTCTTTAACAATAATCAGAGCTGTCTTTCCCAGAAGAGAGTGTGGTCAAGTGGTAGGTGTAGAAAACTAGGGTTCCTTTATGCCTGGTCTCAGTAATATTTCTTGTGCTAAGTCGCTTCAGTTGAGTCCAACTCTGTGCGACTCCAAGGAGGGTAGCCCACCAGGCTCTTCTGTCCTGGGATTCTTTAAGCAGGAATATTGGAGTGGGTTGCCATGCCCTCCTCCAAGGGATCTTCCCAACCCAGGGACCGAACTTACATCTCTTATGTCTCCTGCATTGGCAGGCAGGTTCTTTACCACTAGCACCACCTGGCAATGCCTAATATTTCTCAGTTAGGTACAAAATGATGTTGATGAAGATGGTAATGGATATACACAAAACTAAAACTCTGATTTCAAAAAGTACTGAAAGAGATGTAAGTATCAGGACAGTTGCTCACAAAAACTGACAGTGTCGTTCTTTGCACTGGGAAAGATTTTAGCCCCTCTGTCTGCCTCTGGTGTTCCATTTCCTTTAAGGATGCAGGCCCGCAATTTGCAAATATGACCCATCAGCCAGATCCAGTCCACCACCTGTTTTTGAGGTGAAGTTTTATTGAAATAAAGCACATCCTTTCATTTCCATATTATCCATGGTTGCTTTCCTGCTATAAACTCGGAAGTGAACAGTTGCAGTAGATGCCATATGGCCCACAAAGCCTGAAATATTTATTTGACCCTTTACAGAAAAAGTTTGCTGACTCCAGGTGCAGGATGATGAAAAAAAAAAAGGCAGTTATCTTTGAATGTACACCAACAAGTAATATTGAAGCAGCACCTTACAGTTTATAAAGTCTGACAGCATTCTTTTGCAACTGAACAGATGAGAAATTGCAGACTTTTCCGTGGCCATTCAGCCATTAGGTGGTGTGGGTAGGGCTTGGCCTCTGCCCTCAGGGCAGCGTGGAGGGAAGCGGTCCATGGAGGTGGCTCTCAGGCTGAAGTGATGGCCGTCTATCTCTTTCATCTGCCCAGAAGTGCTTGCTGCTGGAAGATGGTTGAGGAAGCAAAATTCTTCACATTCTGTTCCCTCTTTATCTGACCTTGACCTGGTTGACTTTAACCTTGTTCCACTTCTATGTCCCTATTCGCGTAATCAGAATGGTGAAAAAGTGAAAGTATCAGTTGCTTAGTTGTGTCCAGCTCTTTGCAACCCCATGGATCATAGCCCGCCAGGCTTCTCTCTCCAGAATGGTACCAATAAACAAAAAGGAGAGGAAAGTGCTTCGCAGTCAAACAAAGCTAAGCTTTATTGCGTCAACTCTTGCTTATCCACACTGAAGGAATGTGTCTGCCCTGAAATTGGCACTTGGGTGCTGATATTCTGAAACAGCCAGGAAGAGCAGTCTTGGTGGTATATGCTATCTTTTGTAAAGTTTGCTTTTTGAAATGGCAGATACCTCTCAATTATTTTTTTCTTTCCCTTGGTTTATGGTCAAAATTATATTTTCTCCCCCGAGCTTGTTCTGTCTACTAGCAAGGTGGACCACAGGTGCTGGGAATAGGAGGCAGGAAGGCTGGGATCTAGCCTTTGAGATCTATGGATCCAAACCAAGTTCTTTGCAGAGACCAAAAGATTTTCTTAATCTTATATTTTCTTGGAAAGGAGATAAGGTATAAAACAAGAGAGATGAGAGTAAAAAAAATTCCAAGTCAAACCTTTCCTGAAGATTCTGAGTCAAAGATAAGGATTTTTTTTTTTGGTCTTTTATTTTTTTAATTTGAGGATAATTGCTTTATAGTGTTGTGTTGGTTTCTGCCATACAGCAAGTTGAATCAGCCATAAGTATACATATGTCCCCTCCCTTTTAAGCCTCTCTCCTACCCCTTACCCCATCCCACCCCTCTAGATTATTACAGAGCACCAGGTGGAGCTCCCTGTGTTATACTTCTCACGAGCTATTTTACTTATGGTAATGTGTATTTCAATGCTACTCTCTCAATTTGTCCCACCTTCTCCTTCCCCTGATGTGTCCAGAAGTCTGTTCTCTATGTTCCAGAACCCTGCTAATAGCTTCATCAGCACCATTTTTCTGGATGGTGCTTTATATATATATATATATATGCTTTATTATATGATATTTGTTTTTCTCTTTCTGACTTACTGCACTCTGTTTAACAGGCTCTAGGTTCATTCACCTCAGTAAGATTGACTCAAATTCATCCCTTTTTATGGCTGAGTAATACTCCATTGTATATATGTACTGCAGCTTCTTTATCCATTCAACTGTCAATGGATATCTAGGTTGCTTGATGTCCTAGCTATTGTAAATAGCGCTGTGATGAACATTGGGGTATATGTGCCTTTTCCAATTATGATTTTCTCA